ATAACATGTATAGTATAAAAGCTTATATATAACAGAAAATGTAAGCATAAATTTTAAACATAAAACACAAACCTCAATGAGAGTCTTCCACACTTTTGGTTCTGCTTCAAACATCTTAGTTAATGGACTCCAAGCAAAATCACTATGCCTTTGAACAATTCATGACATGTATAAAATTTGTTTTCAAAGTCTTGATTCGATTTTTTAGATGATCCTTATTAAAAGGGTATTTGAGCTCATCTAGACAAATTGTCAAAACATTGTTATATGCAGTAGTAGTAAAAGTTCCAACAACCCTATTTCCATTCACTTGTTGGTCTAACAATGCATCGATCAACACAACATCCATGTCCTCTGACCACCTTATGTTATCCTTTCGTGATTTTCACCATCAATGTTGTCTTTCTTTGATTTCTTAACCATGTTTACAAGCTGCACATTTAAGAGACATTGAATATATAATAAAACTAAATAGAAACATAATATTGCATTTATAAACACATTACTAAACAACACCTTATGTTAAAAAATAGCAAAATAAAGAAACTGTCGTTAGATCATCTAGATTACACCATAAGATTGCATAACAAAACATGTTCTTAATACAAAAAACAAAACATGTTCATATGTTCTCATCTACTTGGAAATTTTGGAAATTATCCTCTTGACCTTCCTTGAAACTCCATTCAGAATTTCTCATCTACTTGAAAATTTTAGAAATAGTTCTAATCAAAATTATATATAGGATACTAATGCAATATATCTTAAAAATAAAAAAAAATGTTAAAAAAATTTTAAAAAATCTACAAAAACAGACATCATGAAAATCCAAATAAAATATAGCATATCCCATTGAACATAGACAACTACCATAAATTTGAATTAGAATAAATACATCATGACAATAATTTAAGGAAAAAGAAAGTAGGGAAAAGCAATAAATAAAATATATTCACATTCAATTAAAAAACTCATAGCATTAGAATCCATTAGAGAGCTTCCCAAATTACCATTAGCCAATTCAATTCTTAAAAAATCACTAAAACTTCTCAAATAACAAACAACGTTGATATAAGACAAGCAAAAACAAATTTTAGACAAGTAAATTGTAAAAAGAGAGAGAGAGAGAAAGAAAGAAAAAAGAAAGAGCAAGGGAGTGAAAGATTCATCCACAAAGCTAATTTTAAGATTGACCATGTACCTTCAATCTTAAACAATAGAACTACCTTCAATCTTCAACAATGGAAGGAAGTTTTTTCCGTATGAAAGGTGTGCTGAGTGGAGAGAGAAAGCACCATTTATCTCTTCTTTCTAGCCAAAAAAAAAAAAAAAAAAAAACTTATGGAGCCAATTTTGGATGAAAAATAAGGACAATTCAATAATTTGACTTCATTTAGATAGTTATCCATATTTTTTTCCTAAAATCCTCCCACTTTTAGAGAGATTAAATATGGTGGGACCCACCAATCACAATTTCCATTTAATTTTCTTTTCCTTCCCAATTTCCTTTATACCAAATAAGCTAACTTATCAAGCTTCATTCTAAAATCCCTCCAACATTTTCTTTCCTTCCACTTTTCATTCATACCAAACACACTGGCCCTGTTTGTTTCCCTTCTCGTTTTCATTTTTCACGATTTTCGAGAATGAAAAATGAAAACGAGTAAAAAAAACGCGTTTGGCGTTAAATTTTTGAAAAATTAAAAACAAAAACGTTCTTGTCCTTATATGATAATCTGAAAACGATTTATAATCGTTTTCATTCTTCCGTTTTCGTTTTCTCTCTTCAGCAAAATCACTTTGCGACCGTGCGACTGCGCGCCCTCTGCCCCCATCTCTGACTGCGCGCCCTCCC